GCAGAAGCATTTGATGGCTTTTGAAATGTGATAATTTAGGCACAAAAAATAGTAGAAGAAAAATAGAAAATATACTCACATTTGCACAGGGCTCTGAACCTTTTTAAATGGAGTACTTTGAGTGCCAAAGCCATCTCTTTGGGTCAGTGCTATTAAAGGATTTTCCACTCAAACCTGTACCCCATTAGGAAAGGGAGAAAGAAGTATTTCCAATGACCACCGAAAACTTTGTTCATTTCACATAATCCTACAGGTCTACATCTTGGTTCTTGCCTTCAACTTTGTTAGAATAACTTGTTGAAAACTTTAATTTTAAAGTATACAGGATAATATAAGTCAAATGGTACAGAAAATACATGAAGACACAGAATTGAGTCTGTATGTTACTCCAATAATAACACAGATTACATAGTTGATAAATATAGGCTTTCTTCATAGTTATAAAGCTAATAAGTCTAATATCAAGGGCCTTTGTGCTGGGCCAGAATTCACGAGTCTACAATTACCGTTCGATTACTAACCACTCTTGGAACGATCACAATCCACAACTTAACCAGGGCCTTCAATGGCTATGGGACCTCTTATTGAGCCCCACTTTGCAGCCCTGCTGATTTTGTGATAATGTTTCCAAGATAAGAACCTTGGGGAATATTTTAGAAGCATAGCACATATACGATAATGTCTATTCATATTGCAAAATATAGTTGGTAGACAGAAAGCACATTAATCTAATGCATTTTTCTCTTTTCCTCAAGTTATGATGATAATAAGTAATACAACAATTTAAAAAAAGTAAAATTTAAAGTGTCAAATAAAGCCTTCCTTATTAAAAGGCTACAAATAGGAAGCATTCAGTAGTTACTCTAGTTTCATAAAGAAAGTTAAGAGAAATATTAGTGCCTATCACAATATGTCGGAGACATTTTGTTTTCATAATTAGGTATTAGCAAAAAATGGAAAATCATTAATTTCAGAATGGCCTCCCATTTCAGTCAGAAAATAACAAATTTGGCTTAAGCTATATATCTGTTATGATGAATTATTATAGAAAATTATATCAACATGAAATTATAACCCATTACTCAGGGCAAGCATATTGAAGGAAGAATTATACAATAAACAATTTATACTAAAATATATTATATAATTGTAAATATTTAAGATTTTATAAGATATATTTTATCTATAAGTGCCTGACTTAGACATACATATCCAGTTAGTATCAATGGTTAATTCCAAATAATGTGACATAATGTCACATTTGGATTTATTCAACATTGTTGTACTGGGACTGTCATAAAAATATACTCCTGAATGAATGGCCTCAAGAATAGGAATTTACTTCTCCATCCAGGCAACTAGAGTCTAAGGTCAAGGTATTAGCAGGGTTGAGTTCTTCTGAGGTTTCTGTCGTTAGCCAGTGTGATGGCTAGATTTATATCAACTTGACACAAGCTATAGTCATCTGAAAGAAGGGAACCTCAGCTAAGAAAATGCCTCCTCAAGATTGGGCTGTGAGTCACCCTGTAGAGCATTTTCTTAACCCAGCCCATTGTGTGTGGGGACACCCCTGAGAAGATAATCCTGGGTTCTATAAGAAAACAGGCTGAGCAAGCCATGGAGAGCAAGCCAATAAGCAGCACCCTTCCATGGCCTCTGCATCAGCTCCTGCCTCCAGGTTCCTTCTTGCTTGAATTCTTAGCCTGACTTCCTTCAATGATGAACATTGATACAGAATAGGTACATTGATACATAATAAGTAAATAAACCCTTTTCTGACTTTTTTTTTTTTTTTTTTTTTGGTCATGGTGTTTTGTTGCAGAAATAGAAACCCTGACTGATGACCATCACTATCACTATCATTATCTATGTCTTTATGGACTTTTCTATCTGTATGTATCTGTATCCTCATCTTGTCTCCTCTTTAACCTCCAGTAAATGGAGTAATACTAGTTTGTGTTACTTGATTTTACCATAATTACTAAAATTGCTTTTCTCAAATATAGTCACATTTTAAGTATTGACTGTTATTACGTAAAGAGACACATTTTGAAAAAGATAAGAGACAGACATGATCAGTTTGTGATATATTCCTAACATTTTTACTTAAAACAAACAGAGGAAATTGGATTTATATTTTATATTGAGGGTAAGTAAATTTGGAAATAGATAAGTATTAGGTTAATCAAATCTAGAAAAATCATCCTTTATTGAGAATCTATTTGACATTCAAAATTTTAATAATGCTATAATGCCATATGGCTAATTTGGGTCACTTTGGAAAGATAGAAATTAGAATTGGGAAGATAAATTTGTATTTGTTTAGACTTCATGTTTTCTAACAGTTTAAGACTTACAGGAAAACAACATAGTACAGACTTCTGTCATATCCATATCCAGTTTCTCCTCATACTTATGCCTTACACTGAAATGACACATTTGTTATTATTCATACACTGGTACTGGGAGATTAACTACAGCAAATACCTTTTTAAAATTTTGAGCTTTCCTTCACTTTTGGCTAATGCCCTTTAACTATTTCAGGACCCTATCCAAGAAGACTTGCAATATTTGGTGGTTAAGTCTGCTTAGATTCTCTTCGACTGGCACATTTTCCTCAGAACCTTTGTTGATGACCTCGTAGGAGTACTTGGTTAGGTGTTTTTAGAATGTCTATTTCTTAGAACTTGTCTGAGTATTTTTTTTCATGATTAGACTTGGGCTATTAGTATGAGGCATGATGACTACAGAAGTGAAGGACCATTTACATTATTCCATGTCAGGGTCACATACTGTGACTACAGGTCATCACTGTGGACTTCCATCACTTTCATTGTCAGTAGTACTCTTGGAGGGAATGTCACCCCAAAGGTATGCAGCTCACAACAAAAAAGAAAGGAGATATGTTTTCCCTGGAAAGTAAACTATATACATAAATTGCTTAGAATTCTTCTAAAGGGAACTTTTTTATTTTCTCCATTCATCTGTTTATTCAGCCTCAATCTTTAAACTGCATTTTTTTCTATCATTTTACATGACAAGCATATATTCTTAGTGTAATTATTTTAATGTGAATGTTTTTAAATTCCTGAGTAACAATATTTTAGCCTATTCAGATAGCTATTATCAAAAAGTAATAACTGGGCAGCATATAAAGAACAGAAATTTGTTTCTCAGAGTCTGCAGGATGGGAAGTTCAAGATTAAGTTACTGGCAGATTCAGTAGCTCATGGGAGTATTTCTTTGTTTTCTTTTACCACTGGAGAATACCTAAGATTGGCTAATGTGTGAAGGTAAGAGATTCATTTTGATTCATCATTCTGGAGACTGGTAAGACAACCTCCACCTAGTGAAGGCCTCTTGCCTCTCTGGCTCATAACAGACATTTAAAGATGGAAAGCAAGGAGCAACCTTGCTATTTTAAAAATTCCCTCTCAAACCCACTAGTCTACTCCTCAAAGAGTTAAAACTCTGGTATTACAGTGGAGCCATTCATGAAGGCTCTATCCTTGTCACCTGCACACTTCCCACAAGGCTCTTCCCTCCTAGAATTGGCATTGAAGAACTCAAGTTCTAATCCATGCACTTTGGAGGAAACACATTGTAATTGACCTTTATTCTCAGTTCATAGTTGGCAACTACTTTCTGTAGCCTCATGTGTTAGGAGGGCAAAACAGCTCCCTTGAACCTATCTTAAAGGGCACTATAATCCCATTAATGAAGGCTTCTCCTTCATGACCTAGTACCAACCCCAAAAGTGTATCTTCTATGTGCTAGCAACCATTGCATTGTTGTGTATATAATATCTGAGAGAACAACTTGAAGAAAAGAATGGTTTACTTTGTGTTTCAGTTGATCATTATAGGACAAGAAACTGAGAATAAGAATGTGAATGTCAAATATCATTTGACTTTCTCTTTCCTGTTTTTTCTTTTATGTCTCTAGATAGTATGATGGTATTATTTACATTCTAGGTAGTTCATCCTGCCTCACCCACCCATCCCCAGTTAGCCCTATCTAGAAATGTCCTTAGACATGACTAGGGGATGTGTCTTATAATCCAAGATTTAGGCAAGATAGTTGAAGTTAACCATTACATCCTAATAACACAGCCTGCCTTGGGATTTAGGATTACCATAAGAGTTTTAGGAGGATACATATATTCAGATGATAGCCCAATTCATTTATTAACTCAGGACTTAAAATTGTCTGCATACTAACTTAAAACTGCATACATACAAAATTATCAGAAAACACTTACTGAGTTTGAAAGCCTTGTTATAATCTAAGCAATAGTGGTGAAGCTACCTTAAATGCTCTTTTCCAATAATGAGATTGATGACTTATATGCCATCCTAGAGCCATCATCCAGTAGCTAATGGAAGTAGAAGCAGACACCCACAGCTGAACACTGAGCCAAACTCCTGGAATCCAGTTGCAGAGAGGGGGGAAGGGATTAGCAAAGGGGTCAAAACTACACTGAAGAAACCCACAAAAACAACTGACCTGAACAAGGGGGAGCTCATGGACCTCAGACTGATAGCTGGGAAACCAGCATTAGACCAACCCAGACCCTCTGAACATGGGTGTCTGTTAGGAAGCCTAGAAGTCTATGGTACCTCTGACAATGGAACCAGGATTTATCCCTGGTGCAGGAACAGACTTCAGGAGCAATTCCCCCATAGAGTGCTCATAGCATGGCGTTAGTACTTAATAATATTCCCTGCATAGACAGGAAAAAGAGCTCATTAAATAAAAAGAGGAAGCAAATAGTTTCTATTATAGACAACTTCAGAATTTAACTTCCTGGCTTTGTGGCAGAAGGCATGTTGGCTACTTTCACTTGGAAGATCTTGAATCCCTTGTGGTATGCTTGGGTATGGCATGAATATGTCCAGTGTTCCCTGAATACAGTTGGTAATTTCCCACTTACATCACCATTTCTGCTTCTTCTTTACAATGTTTATTGATGTTTCTTTGGTTGGGATTTTTTTTTCCAGATGTCTCAGTGAGCCTGTTGGCAGTTGTCGTGAGCTTCTGTGGCCTAGCCTTGTTGGTTGTCTCCCTTTTCGTCTTCTGGAAGTTGTGCTGGCCATGCTGGAAGAGCAAGCTTATGGCTCCCAGTGTCAGTGCCCTTCCGCAGAGCATTTCAAGTGCTCCAACTGAAGTTTTTGAGACTGAAGAGAAAAAAGAAGTTGAAGAAAATGAAAAGCCAGCACCAAAAGCTATTGAGCCTGCAATAAAAATCAGCCACACTTCCCCTGATATCCCAGCTGAAGTACAGACGGCTTTAAAGGAACATTTAATTAAACATGCTCGTGTGCAAAGACAAACCACTGAGCCTACGTCTTCATCCCGGTAAGGAAGGGTAGAGTTTGTGATCCCATGAGAGAGAGAACAGAAAAGAAACAAGAAAAATCAACAGTAAGAATGGGGGTGGACAACCATAAATAGCTCAGCCTGTTCCCATCCCCCAACCTCTCCCCTTTACATTCCATCCCAGCCCCCAGTTTACCCAGCAGAGCTCATCTCCTCCTCTGGGTGATCCATGTGGAGAGGGAGGAGGTATTATATGAGCAAGGGGTGGGATCAAAATTATGACCCGGGAAACCCACAGAGATAGACCTGAACTTGTGGGAGCTCTCTGACTCTAGACCTACAGCTGGGGAGCCTGTATGGGATTGCATGTAGGTGACGTTTTGTAGCCTGGCAGTGGGAACAGATCCTGGTGGGATGCCTTGCTCCACCTTTATGGGGATATGGGTGGGTTTGGGGGTAAGGGGGAGACTTTGTTGACTCTCCATTGAAGAGTGGATGGGGGTGGGTTAAGGGAGGTGGGAGGATAGGGAGGAGGGGAAGGTACATATGTTGTTGGTACATAAAATGAAAAAAAGACCAAAGGACCATAAAAAAAGAATAGAAGTATGATCAGGAGAAAAAAGAAAGGAGAAACAGGAAGGAAGAAGAAAACATGTAAACATATAAGGGAGTCAAGTGACAAGGGGTGGCACATAGAAAGGGACATAGAGAGAAAATTAAAGGCAAAGAACAGATAAAGTGGCATATGGAAAGGACTTGGTTGTAAAGAGTAGTTTTTCCGCCCACCATCTGGTCTTGTCCCGCCGCCGTGCCAGCCCCAAATAATACACAGAGACTCTGTATTTGATATTATGCTGTTGGCCACTCTGTATTTGATATTATGCTGTTGGCCAGTTACTTGTTTCTTATCGGCTAGCTCTGTCTTAAGTATTAACCCATTTCTATGTATTTCCACGTGGTCTTACCAAGAGAGGAGGAATGGCGGTTCTGTTCTCTCCCATCTCTCCATGCTGACTCCTCCTTCCTACTTCCTCTTTCCTCCTTGTCTCCTAGCCCCTCCTATCTTCCTTTCCTATTGGCCAACAGTGCTTTATTCATAAACCAGTATGAGAAACATATTTGAAATGTCATCAGCCCATAGCTGCCACTTTCAAGTTTTCAATTTAGTTTTGTTAACTAATAAGCAGTGTACAAACAGCCATTGAAAATTTATATCACAGAAGCACACACACACACACACACACACACACACACACACTGAGCCACTCACAATAAAAACAAATAGAAGATAGTTTTTAAGTCTGCAGTTAGTCAGCACCTAAACTGAAAACACAAAACTGCACTCCTTATCTGAGCCCATGTAGATGAAACTTTCATAATAGGCAATTCTACAGGAACCCAAATGCCACGGGCATACCGTGCAACACAGACTTCTTTCAGAAATGTGTTCTAAAGAGATGAGTAAGAGACTGTTTCCACTGAGATAAAAAACTTGAGGACAAGGAAAGCAGGTAGTACTATCACTCAGGCTAGCCTCCTGAACTGGTTAAAATGGGTAATCAAGCCCCAAATGCTAGCTAGTTATTTTGAGAACATTTTAACCAGTGGCATTTATGGTCATTTAAAACTGTGTGCATGTATGAAATGATCCCTATGCCTCCTTGATTATTATTCTATTATTTCTGAAAACCTCTGTAACATGAATAATAAAAACCCTGAGATAGATACTGGAGTTCAAGCTGAAAGATCAGAGAAGCAAAGCAGCTGGCTACTAGCTCTTACCTCTACCTCAGGGTGAAAGGGCTGTCCTGTCTTCAGTGCAACTGGAGAATAAAACTTACATGAGACACCTTGCTTCTTTCTTTTATACCTCTCAAATCCTTGAATTAAAGGTGTGGGATACCAAGTGCTGAGATCTCCTTTGTGTGAGCTGTTGCTCATTTAGACTGAATCAATTCATGTAGCTCAGTATGGCCTTGAACTAACAGAGATCTGTCTGCTTCTGTCTCCTGAGTCCTCGGGTTAAAGGTGTGTGCCTCCATTGCCTAGCTTCTATAGCTAGCTAACTAGTGTGTCTAGCTTTGCATTCTGATACTTCTGACAATCTTTTTTAAATCATAAATAATATATCACCACAAACCACAAAGCAGTTTTTAAAATAAGCAGATCCCTCTTTCCACCAGGGGTGTGTTCTAAGACCCCAGAGGATTCCTTAAAGCACTGAGCTTTATAAATGAGATAGTCTCCTGTTATACACACTTACAGTGTTAATAATTAAATAATAATGAATACTATGTGGATCTGGTCTCTGTCTCAAAATATTGCATTTATTATATACACAATAGCTTTCTTTTTGTTGCGATATGCAATGATATTCCCCCATGATGCAATAAAGGGAAATAAATGTTGCAGGTATTGTGACAGTGTTGTACTTCTGCATCAGAGTAACTTGATTGAATGCATGGTGGTACATAGATACAGCAGTGTATCTGACCACCAAGATGATATGTTAGTGACTGAGAAGCAGGCTACATAAATTGCATGGATGTGATAGGAAGTAGAGTGAACCACATACCCTGGGAGACAGAGTAAAGTGAGTAAAAATTCATCTCACCAGTCAGAACAGTATTCATTTTTACATTTATGAATTGTTTACTTCCGGAATTTTCCATTCAGTATTTCAAGCCTTCAGTTGGTCACCGGTAACCAAGACAACAGTTGACAAAGACCAGAGAACATAAAACAGGATAAGAGGAACTACTGTCCTAACAATTATGAATAAATGACAGCATAGTGTTTAGATTTAGTCAGCTTTAACTGGTAAGTTACACCTCACATAAATAAATTCAGGTGTTGAAGATGGTGCAGGTATTCTATTTGAGTGAAAATTTATCTCCAAAACACTATCAAAAGAGTACAAAGAGGCCATCTGACTGTCCCCAGCTAAGGGACAATGAAAGACTGTACTGAAAACGCATGTGAAGACTGAGCTTTGGCAATGGAATGGCCTCTTACAGTCAATGCAAATAATTTAATCTCAGGTTTTTCAGCAATTATATGCAAAAGAAAACAGCAATTAGGTCAGAAAATTTTTCTTCCCTCAGTCTTAGAAAACATAAAAATAAGTCGTATGCATCTGGTATTTTCTAAGTGAAAACAGACTGCACAAATCAGTGATTTAGCTGGAATGTTGCTGCTTGATGTACTTGTTGGAGTACCCTTATCTGCATGGGAGGTTGTGGAAGAAGAAAGGAAACCCCTTCCTTGCTGTGCCTTCACTATCACACAGAAAGTATTAGCGATTGTCTCTATTATTTGTGAATTAGCCAAAGCCAAGGGAGATTAAATATTTTGCCTGACATAATGAAAGCCTCCAGGACTGATAATTCAAATTTATCCATGGATGGAATGTTTCAATTTTTAAGTCTAATGTGGGTTTTATACAAAGAAAACTGAGTTACAAAGTCAGATGAAGACAAGCAGTTTGGAATTTAAAAATATCTTCCTTCTTGTTCCACTAAATTAAAGGTCTGAAATTGGGTGTGGCTACTAAATGCTTGGCATGGGGATGAATGCCTTGTAGACAATTTCATCACTCCTATTTCTCAAAATTCCTCTTCATCATGGATCACTTCATCATATTGCCTGTTCCCTTATACAAAGAAAAAGAGGAGACTGCAAAGTTCATTATGCAGTCACCTTAGACACGACATGGAAATTACGTTTTAATAAATCAAATTGTCCAGCTCAAATGCCAATTTTGCCTGACAAGGCAAAATCAGAGCTACATGCATATACATGTACACATTCCCAAAATAAACTTAACTTTAATTTTCCATTTCCACAACTTATTAGTTCAGACAAGAGATGACATCATGCTCTTTCAAGGTTCAGTTATCCCTTTCTCTATTGAAATAACATTTTGACAAATCTAGATATTAGCAACATTACTGGACACCGGGAAAATTTTCAATTTCTCATCCCCATTTTCAAATCCCTGGACATTTGAATCCTCCAGCTGTCTGACAAACTATTCAGCTTCACTTGTATGTTTCTTTGTTACTAAAATTTTCACATGTCCCTCCTGATTGGCCCTGCATTCTCACTTACATGTTTACTTCTGAGTGTAATAAATGTGTTCTGTCCTCTATCCACTCAAAGACTCTGAAAATCTATAAAGAAATTTACATTGTGTGATACTGACTTCAATGTAAGTAATTATAAATGTCACCTGTGTATTGGAGAAGGTGAACTTCAGAGCACAGAGAGGTTGTTTCCAGCAGAGTCATGAAGAAGTGTCACTAAGTTGAGAGACAAATATGAGTTCATAAATTTCCCATGGAGACTTAGCAGTTTATTGCTGATGGAAACACGTGGAGTCATAGAACACAAAGTTCAGCTAAAAAAAAAAAAGTGATTCGGGGGCAAAATAAGCAGAGTCAGCTGGAATCAAAATATATGAGGCCTTAAAATTATGGCTGAGATGTTCAAAGGCTGTCCTTTCAAATATGTGTCCAGTAGAAGTCACTTGTTTCCAAGAGTTATGTTTCAGAATAATTAACTCAGCAGCTGTTTATGGGAAAGACTATTATGGGATGACATGTCTTTTGAAATGCAGTAAATTTATAAAGGAAAGAAACAGGAGGTCTTATATCAAAACTTACTTAGATGATACTTTAGTGGTCATCTGTCTTGTTCAAACTTTCAGAAACTTGAAACTGCAAGATTCTGTAGTCTGACTTTACCAAAATTCTGGATGTTTCTACTTGTATAGTTCTGTGCATTTTCCTGATAGGTATTCACTTCTATTCTGCTTTTCATAGTAAAGAATGCACTACAGAAACTCTGCACAATGTAGTGAATTTGAAAAGTCAGTCAATGGATTCCATCTTCTTCCCATGCCCATCCAAATGAATAGTTCATGGTTACATACTCTTCTAAGCACCCTGAAAACCTAGACTTCTGTCTATTCTTGCTCATGTTGTTTTCCGTCTAATGGTGATCTTTTTATCTACTCTAAAATATTTACTGAAAATATA